TCGCTGTGAATGCATGGATGAGAACCTTATGTGTGATATTTTCATGTGATATTTTGTATGCAAATGTCCTATTGTTCACCAAATATGGATAGAGATCCATATTATTAATAGTGTATCTGTAAAAATATATCTAATTATTTGATTTAACACACTCACTCATTGGTTTTTCCTTCAAATCTATGTTTATGTTGCAATTTGAAATTATCATAAACATTCTGCAGAACCCAGACATCCAGACAGTTAGACATGAAACGTAGATGCTGTGTAATGCACTTAATGTTTCCCGCAAAATTGTCGTACTCATCAATTTTTTTCCTGTATTAGCATCTTTTCTGTGCAACATATGTTTTCCTCTGGAGTTTCACATAACTCATATCTGTTACACTTGCACCTGTAAAAATCAAAACCACAGTTAAGATGTATTTTAACATAGGAATTTCTTAATAGTTAGGGCCAGGCCAGCCAGATCACAGGCCTATTGGACTAGGCCCCATTTTCTTCGGTACGATCGACTTCGAAAACCTGCAAAGGAATCGCCAATCACCTCCACTAACCCCAGCTGTATCAATTAAATCATGTTCATGGCCATAGCTTGCATGGCCATGAACAGGACCCTGACACACTGATATCTAACTAATATGGCCAGTCACACTGGAAGCATGCAGTGCACTCTGCATCCCCTGTACATACACTGGACGTTTTGTTTACAGGGTAGGCTAAACTGCATTTCGCATCATGGAATCGGAAATGTTTAGAGAGTCCAGATTACCGTCAAAAGACGAACTTAAAAGCTATCAACACTGGATGATGAAGAACACGCCATAGCCATAATAAGCAACACTGACACTTATACAACTCATGACGTTATTGCAACTAATTCTAAGAGATGGCTCTGCGAACTATTTCATAATTTTACTCTGATAGTCCCAATATGGTTTTATCAATAAAAAATACCATCAGGAGTCTTTTTTTTCTTTATTTTTTCATTTTCATTTTTCAGGATAAGGCACATTTAGCAATTATGTGAAAGTTTATGCATGACAAAAAAATATCTGTGTTTTGTGAAGGACTTCATTCTTTTTTAAATGTACTTTAAAAAGACACATGGGAACACATACACAAGAAAAAAAAACACTTATAAAAAAAGGGCACACTAGAGTACACACAATGTGACATATGAAAAAAAAGAAAAAGGTTGGTACCACATTCAAGGATACATACAAACGAAAAACCTTACAAATATGAAGTGGGTAGCAAGAAATTTTACGATTCCAAGGCACTAAGTAATGACATGAGAGCGCACAATAAAGAAAAGCCTTGAGAGGGTGACTTTCATAGTAAAAAATATATATATATGTATAAGCATATGTGTCGTATGAAAATTCACGAGAAGAGAAGCCAAAAGTGAATATTATGAAAAGTTCAGTATAGGGCTGTCCAGTTCTTAAATATAGAGGCAAAATATACAGTCATCGAACCATACTATTTTAGGTAATTTCATGTGATATTTACATACAGTTTTCAAATATACTGCCCTTCGATAACGTACTGTTTTATATTATAATTAATTTTGAATTAGCAGTATATCTATTTGCTATGCTAATGCTATAATTATATTAATTATTACAATAAGATTATGTGTGTGTGTGTGTGTGTGTGCACTTCTAGTGTGTTGATATTCCTAATATTATTGGAATTACTGTGGAAAATATATGTATATTTTTTCAGATACAATTGATCATGGGCAAAGAGACCCAGTGATTTTATGGTTGTGTCAGTGTCTGTTTTTTTTTTTTTTTTTTTTTTTTTTATGAAAAATATAAAACAATTTATAGAATGTTTCACAGATAGATTGGAGGAAGAAGACAGATATTGGCATTATCATATACCTTGAAGCAATATTTTTTATGATGATCACTTTTACAGTATTACAGTCTATATGATATTGCTTTATTAAACAACACAAATGATTTATTTTTATCTTTGGGGTGATATATTTATGCATATATGCAAATATACAGCATGACTATGAATATAAATCTTTCTATACCCTATTTAAAAGTGAAAAATATTATCTTACAAATACATGTATGCCATTCCTATTATTACTATTTTTTAGTATTACTGTTAGTATATTATTGCTGTTATTAATATTTTTATTGTTATTCACAGTGGTACTATGCTATTTATCAATATTAAATCAGTTTATTATTATCATTATTATTACAATGACCATGTAGTAGTATACTACCTGTCTGTAAGTATTAATCACTACTATTATGTTCATTTTCTCTACCTATATTATTTTTGGTTTTATTTTCAGTAATAATGATAATACATTTGCTGCTATTGTTGTTTTCCTAGCTTCATCCTTATCATCATAAAGTAATTAGTAATATAGATATTTCATGTCTGATTTTTATTCTTGTTGTTGTCATTATCATCAATACCTTCATCATCTCTAATGGTAGTAGCAGGAACAGGAGTAATAGCATTAGTAATATAATAATTCCTATTTTAACATTATTTCATTATCTTTAGTATTAATAGTAGTGTATTTATTTGATGTTATGATTGGTATTGTTTACATTATTGTTATATGTCACTATTATCATTATCATTACCAAAGTCACTATCACAATCATTATCGTTAGTATTAGGCATCAAGGGTTATACAGCAGCATGGTAAAGTTTTGTGTCGGAAAGGGCAAATATGAGTTAACGATTTGGATAAGTGGACAGAAGAAGGGGATGAAGAAGAGGAAAAAAAAAGGAAAGGGAGAAAAAAAGTATTACTATTTTTCTTGTTATCTTTATCAACATTATTATTATCACTATTATTACTGTTATGATTGTCGTTACTCGAGTGGGATATTATCATTACCATTATAATCTTAAACACTGATACTTCATAAGTATTACTGTAATCGATGTTTGTGTATCTACTTCTTTTTTTATTTTTTCCCTTCTTATATTGTGTGATTATGATCACCATTACCATTTTTTTTTTCATTTTTTTATTCACATCCTTAATCATAACAATTACCAATTATCTACTATTGATTCTGTTTGAAGTATAGTTATTATTATCATTATCATCAATTTTATCATCATTATTATCATAACTATTATTATTTCTATCTTTTTTTTTATGCTGCTGCTGTTGTTATTGTTTTAATATCATTCAGCAAAGATATAATGAATTAGAATAATGACCACAGATTAGTGATTAATGAGTGATGATGTGTGACTGATTATCACTTATATCCTATCCATGATGATAATAACAATGATATTTAACATCATCCACCCCCTAAAGTTTTACAATAATGTCTATAAAATTAAATATAAAAATTGATTTTAAAAAATCTTACGGTCCCTTACATCATTCTGTCTTCGCCGTTTCCTTAGAACCTTTAATAAGAACCTTGAAACTATGAGCCATCCACACCAGCGCCGACAGAGTAAAATAAACCACTAGACAAGTATCCAAGAATGTACTCTTTGAGATGGGCGTACCGCGGGCGTAGACAACAAAGGCGGCGCAACGGACGGTCTCGGCCAGGGGCGCCCATCGCCAGCCGTCATACAGGGCCCCGATGAGTCCCACGGAGAGCAGAATGAAGGTGGACATCAGGAGGATGCTGAACCACGAGGACGTCTGACGGAGACATGACAGCGGTGACAGAGAATGAACATCCCGTCTGTTTATATGCGTTTATAATTAGTCTGAAAGAGTGAGCTAATTCTGGATGGGCATTCGAACTAAACCGAATTCGTTTCTAACTACACCAATCGTACATATAGATAGAAATACTAACCGATAATTTTGCTATGAGGACCTGTTGCAGAAAGAGTGCAAGGAAGTACTGCAGCGCAACATAGACCTCTTGCCACATGGGGAGTCGAGGATCGTACTTGGCCCTATTCGCCTGGACGTCTGAAGAAGCGCTGGCATCACCCAAGCGAGGAGTGCCAGGGTGCCAACCGGGCCCATTGAAAAGTGCTTTTATCGTGTCTACCCAAGTGTTCATGTTCTTTGCCTTTTTGAAGACTTCAGAATAATAGTAAACCTACGAATCAGATACAAAGATAGTTTAATTTATTCATTTCTCTAAGCTGATGATTATTTTTTTATCATTATTATTACTAAAACTATTCTTGTTCTCAACCTCATCATAATCGTTAGTAGCATCACTATGTACATGAAACAATTATCATCATCATATCGGTAGCATATACCTGAAGCCAGATAACATTGAGGGATTGAGGCTGGTCGACCAACCCGTAGACTATCTTCTCGTCTTCTCGCTCTTCTGCAAAGGTTCCAAATAGTCGATCCCAGATGACCAGCACACCGCCGTAGTTCTTGTCCAAACAATATTTGTTGGCTCCTGATGTGAGGAAATTTGTGGGAGACGCGAATATTGAATATTAAAATCAGACATTATTTTCCGGTCTGTTTATTTCTGATCTCTCTCTCTCTCTCTCTCTCTCTCTCTCTCTCTCTCTCTCTCTCTCTCTCTCTCTCTCTCTCTCTCTCTCTCTCTCTCTACATATACATTTTTTTTCTATTTTTTTTTTTTTTTTTTTTTTTTTTTTTTTTTTTTGTGCTTGTCGAAATTTCTTGCCTCACAATCAGTTCTCTCTCTCTCTCTCTTCCTGTCACTCTCTCCCTCACTCTCTGTCTTCCACCTTACCCTCTATTTCTCCCTCTCATCCTTTATTTCTCCCTCTCACCCTCTCCTTCCCTCCTTTACCCTTCCTCCCACTCCGACGAAACCCCAAACCTACCTTACCCTTACAATACCCACCGTGATGAACCCTATGGTGTGAAGGCGTGTTGAGCACCCATTCCAACGGCCCAAGCTTCCCGACCGTTTCCGTGTGAATCCAAAACTGGTAGAGGAGATTAAACTGGATGTGAACGAGCAGAGCAGGAAGCGGGATGCCCAGAAGAGCGAGAGGGTTGTAGAAAACGACCCAGAAGGCTCGCTGGAAGATGGACTGGCGTAGGGCGGTGGAGAGGTTGTATTCTTGGGACGAATGGTGCAC